GGATGGATGGATGGATGGATGGATGGATGGATGGATGGATGGATGGATGGATGGATGGATGGATGGATGGATGGATGGATGAATTTATTTTTATGAAGTTCTTACTTTGAACGTCCGTGTCTGAAGGTAAGAAGGTTGGATCAGGTGATCTGGACAGATACCCGCCCACCTGACCCAAACCATCTTACTATCTACCTGGATAAATGAGCAGGACGCTCAGAGTTTCACGTGTCCTGCTTTGATTGACATGAGACATAGAGTGTGTGTGCTTCAGGAGGAGACGAGGCGTAAAAACATCAGCTGACTGAAGATCTTCTGCTCTCAGATGAATCAAAGAACCTGAACTAGACTCCAGAAGATCAAGAAGAAGAAATCTGTGTAAAGGTCAAGGTGAGCACTAACCCGTCCTTCTGCTCCCTCCTTTGTATGGCAGTGACCCGATGGCCCTCAGGAGACCGGCCCGGGTTGGGTGTTGGTTCAGACGGATCTCGGTCCGGGTGTCATCGCTGAACTGGACCACGGACACCCAGGTTCTGTCCTGTCCGATCTGAAAGGCTCCGGCCGCCGCAGAGATGAAGTTGCGGATATGTCTGAAGTTCTGCTGGCCGACGCTCCAGGAGCCGTCAACCAGGAAAACCACGTCCGCTGCGGCAGCAGCAGTGCATCCTGGGAAACAGAACACAGGTTTCTGGTCCTGCTGGACTCAGTTTGGTTCATCTGAGTCCGGCAGGACCACGAGTCGGAACCAGAGCAGGAACGTGTTGGAGTGAAGTTAGGGTTGGTATCACCCGCCGCTGCAGGGCTCAGAGAGTGATAGTGTTGTGTCTGAGTCACATGATCACATCTGTTCCATCATGTGCTCTACCTTCCACCTGTCTGTTAGCAAAATATCACGTGAACTGGACTTATGTAAATACAGGTGCTGGTCATAAAATAAGAATATCATGAAAAAGTTTATTTATTTCAGTAATTCCATTCAGAAAGTGAAACCTGTATATTATATTCATTCATTATTCACAGACTGATATATTTCAAATGTTTATTTATTTTATTGTTGATGATTAGAACTGAAAAACACCAAATTCAGTATCTCAGAAAATTAGAATATTAAGACCAATAAAAAAAGGATTTTTAGAAATGTTGGCCACCTGGAATGTATGAACATAAAGTATGAACATAAAGTATGAACATAAAGTACGAACATAAAGTATGAACATAAAGTATGAACATAAAGTATGAACATAA